CCTCCATCGTATCACATTCAGGTATTCTCTAAACCCCCTTCACACCCTCTGTCTCTGCCCCTGTAGGGGGATTCTGGGGGCCCTCTGGCCTGCCGCCACCTCTCTGGCCGGTGGTTTCTGGCCGGAGTGACCAGCTGGGGACACGGGTGTGGGCGCTCCGGCTTCCCGGGGGTCTACACCCGCGTCACCTCCGTCCGGAAATGGATATCCAGCTACCTGCCCTACTGAGGGGGGGCACACAGACCAGGCCTGGTCCTCCTGGGTGGATCCTAACCAGGCCGCTTCTCCACTAAGCCCTAGGACCTGAGTCCTGCTCCGGGACTCGAGTCCTAGTCTGGAACTTGAGTCCTGCTCCAAGACCCGAGTCCTGCTCCAGAACTTGACTTGAGTCCTGCTCCGGGACCTGAGTCCGGGACTCGAGTCCTGCTCCAAGACCTGAGTTCTGCTCCAAGACCTGAGTTCTGCTCCAGTTCTTGAGGCCTGCTCCGCCAACCGAGTCTTGCTCCGGGACCCGAGTCTGGGACTCGAATCCTGCTCCAGGACCTGAGTCCGGGACTCGAGTCCTGCTCCGGGACTTGAGTCCTGCTCCGGGAACCGAATCCTGCTCCGGGACCTGAGCCAGCCTCTGCTCAGTTCTGGGCTGGTCATGTGACCGGCTGCTCATGGGTGCTGTTTGGAACTGTTCAGTTCTCTGAACTGATCCCCGTTCCTCCGTCTGTACTGGGGGAGGACTGAGGGTTTCTGTGGGACTCTAGGCCGACACATGCATGACTGGACGTATTTATTAATTTATTCTCCTGACTGGTTAAAGTGCTAGTGCCATTTCTCTCTGTGGGTTTTAGTAGATGCTCACATCAGCCACAACATTAAAGCCTCTGTCAGGGGGGGGCAGTCTCATCCCACAGCCTCGTTTAGTGGGGGCCGGAGTGGAGGATAACACCCCCCACCACGCCACAAACACCTCTCAGGAAACTCCAGTCACGATCCACACACTGCCTCCCAACGCCACACCACCCTCCCCAAAGGTCAAAGGTCAAAATGTTGTGGGTGATAGGGCCATGGGCCATTCTCTTTAACTGTCCTGATATGCTTGTAATTTCTAATTAAAGGTGGCTTTTCTTTGGGGAAACTGTGGAGTTTACAGTCATACAAGTTGAGCTTCACACAGAACATGTGACGTTTAACTCTTTTAGTAGCAGAACAATAATCATTTTTGTTCACAACCACACAGCAAATACTGTTTTCTGAGCATTCACTTTACTACAACTGTAAAAGGGCTCTGAAGTTCCCAGACTTCTGACGACCGGCACACTAAGCTGTTAAAAGGATGTCTGGGGTGAAGCAGACCCCCACCGGAACAAGCCGGCCACTGTGGAGGGCAGCAGATAGAGTGACACCTGAAAACCGCGTCAGACAAAACAGTCCTGTTCTCCAGCTGTACTCCGATATCGGGCCTTCTGAATGCCAGCTCCAGAGACGCAAAGACTCAGGCGCCCCTCAAATGAAAATCAAGTTTGACAGTAACACGCCCATACTGCTTTTCTGTTAGAGGACATATCAAGTTAGAAAAAACACTGAAAGATCACCAGTGTGTCTGAGAGAAAACATAAACAGAATTTTTATGGGGAGAAAAATAGTCAATATGAAATTTTGATTAATGGAGGTTCATTTAAGATGTTTGAGAAACTCTGGAACAGAGTATTGGACCACTTATCGGCTTTTTGGATTTTCAAATATTTCATATTTATTGTCCGAGCACAAATCAGAAGCTTAAATATGCATCAAACAACATTTATGGGGAGATTGTTTTGTCCAGGTCAGATCCTGTTAGAGCCACCTGGACTGAGTCCTCATTTGGCAAAACAAAACAGTGTCTCAACATAGTCACACGGCCCCGGAGAGCACAGTTACTGTATTTCTTACACATAAGACACATTGTACAACTTTATTAGTGACCAGTTCCTGGAAAATAAAAATAAAAATGTCCACAGAGACACTGTCTTGGTCAGAGTCCACAGGCTTTGCCTGAGTGTGAGGTATGGAGGCGGAGGCTGACCCGTGCTGCTGCCCGCGTGCATGTGGCCTGCGTGCACGTGGCCGTGACCCCAGCAGTCTGCTGCACTGGTCCTTGCTGCCAGCGGCCCCGGAGGGGGAGGGAAAGACGAGGGGACGTCTACATACGAGCTCTTTCCCTCTGCAGTCTGGAGTTGTAGGTCCTGGAAACGGTGTTCCAGGCGTCCATGTACCGGTCCATGCACATGGCAATGCACTTCTGCAAGGGGGAGAAGCACCAGGGTAATCAGAACCACAGATATACTTTAATAATCCCACAGGAAATGATTTAATCATGGTGCACAAATGGATTCAAGGAAGACGGAATAACATATCTCTGATCAAATGATGAGGACATTAACACACGTATGCATGTGTATAAACTTATTTTAAAGGAATATATAAAGCTTAAATCCATCAGATGGCACCAATATGATAATTGTGCTGGAGTCTCCTGGCTCCTCATTCAGAGCTGTACCTGCTCAGAGTTGTCCAAGGTGCTCCCAGGTTTCCCGATGCACTTTTTGAAGCATTTGTCCGTCATTCTCTGCAACAGACAGACAGCAGTGACCACCGACTCCACGCTTTTTATGACATTTAACGCGTTTACGTTAGCACATTGGAAATGCCCACATAGCTCGTTGGTCTGGTTGATAAATAAATCCGTCCCAAACGCCCCCCCCGGCTGTTAGCACCCACTAAGCCTCCGCACAGCTAGCTTAGCGGCTCACCTGCAGAAGCTCCTGAGCGTTAGCCACCGCGATCTGGACTTTAACTTGTTCCATGATGGTTCCGGTGTCCATTTTGCCGCCGCCAGCCCCTCCGGCTGAAAAGTCTGAGCCAAACCCGTCCATTTCTGCCGGGGACTAGCTTAAAATGCGGGTTTCTGGGAGCTTTTCACGCTGCACGTGCCGCTCGCCACGGCTAGCTTTGGTAAACGACAGGTTTAGGTGCCCTTGACAGAGCCGGATGTCTCGTTACGTCATTTCCGTTGAAGGCTTTCCGGGTCCAGGGAAATGTAGTTTTTATAAACGCTGTTGTTTATCGTCTTTTACTATCGTAAATATCCATCCATTATCGTTACCGCTTGTTCCCTAATGGGCTTTTGTAAGTATTTGAAAGATAATCTGAATAATGACACACCTTTAGTACACAGATAATGATAACAAGTTTTTTTAAAAAGTATGCTGACTGTACGTGTTATAAAAGTTATAATATCAATACGATGCACACTACTGATGTTATTATGAACATTTTACCGTATCGACGTGTAGGATAAAAAGTAGGATAAAACTACCATCCTCGTTACGAAACGCCAGGGGATCAAACAGTGTCCACAAGGGGGCGATGTGTGCCTCTTGATCTTAGTGAATCGATCAAAACTCCAGTTCCCAACAAATGTAGTAACTTTTAAAACACTATTTATTTTAATTGACAAGTATTTTCAATATGACGCTCATTAGATTTGAAGTCATAACCTTTCTGTCTAACACTGGAATGCACAACTTCCACCATCTTTTTATTGTTATTATTATTATTATTATTATCATTAGCCAGTTACTCCTGTCCACCTGCATATCAGCTCAGCCTTAAGCCTTAACTTTTACCCCCGTGTTCAGTCTGTTATTGTGAGCCTTCAGCAGCTAAAACGTCTTCACTGAGTCGGTACCATAACATGAAACCCCACACAGACCGGGACAAAAGGGCGTGTAGCTAAATAAAACATTTACCCCAAACCAACATCCCACGCCTGATGCTGAAATAGGAGGTCGTGTGAAGCTCTGCATTGTTGGGAGCTGAGGCCTTGGGAATGGGGATGACCCCCCCGCCTTATGTTTGAGACGGCGTGACCTCCCTTAGGAGACCACCTGCCTGGAGAGAACAAACGCAAGCTACAGTGAGTGGCCTGCCAACAATAAAGTGACGGTTACTGTCATCCAAACGGACAGTCGCCCACGGATTTATGGCCACGCTGGGGGCTTTGAGGAGCAATTGTGGGGGGTCTGATTAGTGGCCTGCCTGCTGTACTGTAATTAATTACTAAATCACACAATGCCTGAGCACACACTCACATGAACGCATTCCTGGCAGCCGTTTGGCTTTGAGCAGTGGGGGTAGAGGAGGGGGGGGTTAAAGTGCAGCAAAACGAATTAACCCAAGATTATAATCATGAGTTCATTAACCTAATCTTCTTAAAAATCTAAATCTCCTTTAGGCACACTTGTGTGTAAGAAAGCATTTAAGCCCAGTGGGCTTACAAAGGAGGCCTGATCGAGCTCAGGCAGCATGTTATGAAAATGAGAATTACCAGCGTGTGTTTGATGAGGAGCTCAGAAGTTACCCAACAGACCCCTGCAGGAAAAGGCTGTTCAGAGGATCGAGTGGTTCTCCGTGCTGCATGGTAAATCTCTCCCTGTGGAAACAGAGGAGGATCAGAGGCGGGACGGTCTGGAAACCCAGCGATGTGCCCCCAAACCGCTCCGACAGCTGGAAACAACTGATCTGCAAAAGCAGCTGCTGAGCGACGGAGAACCGAGCGGGAAGAAACGTGAGACGCATGGCATCCACTTTAGAAGTGCCCCCCCCACGCTGCTGGAGTTATGTCAGTGTAGAGAAAAGCCAGAGTCCCCCATGCAGGCCGCCTGCTGTCTGCCCG